TTCAACTCAATGATTTCTCCAAAGAACTTAGGTCATTCAACATTGTTGACATGTCAGGTACTAACAAAATAACACGGTATAAGATGCAACCAATGAACTATTTTCCATACATTTTCATATACACTACTTGTAAAGCACCATTATTCTAATCATGTATCTTTGCAGGTTGCAACTTTGGAGATGAAGGACTATTCTTCCTTGCAGAGAGCTTAGCTTATAACCAGGTTTGACTGTTTCAATGATTATGTTTACTTTTATCCTACATAATTCATCTCATATCTTCTTATACAAAGATCTTTTATTAAGAGTGGAATTCATTAGCACATGTGTAGCTTGTGAAAGTGTTGTGACTTGTGAGTTGTAATCAAGATTTATATGATCTTTGGGTAAACTATGGAAGTAAATCGTCATCCAACACCTGTCATATTGAATCAAAATATATGTATGGCTATTTGTAGGGACTTATGTTTTAACAACTAGCTGCATATGAATTGTAGACTGTAGACACATGTAAGCCCCATATTAGTTGTAGTATTTGGTTTTATAGGCAAATTTCAAAGTTCAATTTACATATGTGCCCAGTACAATATTATTGTCATTGACATTTGACATTTGACTAGGTGATGTACCTTTTCACTCAATGAACTAAGGGGATAAGACTTAGTTAGATAGGCTATATATGGTTGTTTCTTTTTTACTTAATCCAAATTGAATTACCTGAATAGAAAATCAAGTAAACGAGGCTTTCCCGATTAATTCATGACTTTTTATCGATTTGGCTCTATATTCTTAATGCACCGTTGCTTTTTCCTTTTCCAGGTTGCTGAAGAAGTAAATTTTGCTGCTAATGGAATAACTGCTGAAGGAATATTTAAAGCTTTTGATGGTATTTTACAATCAAACATTTCTCTGAAGGTTCTTAACTTATCAAGAAACAATATTAGGGATGAAGGAGCTAAGGTGAACTAATTCCTGGATTTTAATTTGTACCATTAATTGTTTAATATTTCAGTTTTTGGATGTTTATAATTACCAAATAATATATGTGCTTTTATATGCAGGTTTTATGTGATATACTGGTGGATAATAGTGGTATTTAGAAGCTCCAGCTAAATAGTACTAATATAGGTGATGAGGTTAGCTTTTTATTTATTTATTGTTATTATTTTAAAAAAAATTCAACATGTTAATTGTTGTGTGAAAGACTCTGATGTATTTCCATGTTGCAGGGAGCAAAGGCCATTGCTGAGTTGCTAAAGAAGAACTCAACCTTGAGGACAATTGAACTCAACAACAATTTGATTGATTATTCTGTAACTTTTTTCTTTTTCATCTTATTTTATAAAACAACTAATAACATATTTCTTACTTTTTAATTGGCATTGTTTGCAGGGATTCTCAGGTCTAGCTGAAGCACTTCTTGAAAATAAATCGTTGAATAGTTTATATCTAAAGTGAGTCATCTTACAAATACATTTCCAATATTGGTACTTGGTAGTGAGAATAAAGTATGTTGCTTGTTGTTCCTTGCAGTTAATACTATTTAATTTTATTTTTATAATTACAGAGGACCCCAACCGGATGAAGCAACCTCAGGGCCCTTCTGTCCACCTGAATGATCATTTTTAGACATTCCTCCCGTATGGACACTAGGCCATGAAAGCTGCATAAAAAAGGTCACATGTCATTTCTTATCATCAGTATGAAAAGGGCTAGGCTAGGCTTAAATTGTAAATATGTTTCTTAGTCGGCAGGAAAAAAGATTACCATTTTGCCCTTAGAAGTTTCAAACTAACTGGCATCGAGAGTTTTGTTTTTTACAATCACTTCTAATTGGGGTAGAAAATTACCATTATGCCCTTGCAAGTTCCAGTTGCCAAGAAAAGTAGCTGGCACTGAGTTTTTTTCTTCAATATTTAGCTTGCAATTAATTTTTTTAATATAGTTTTATTTTTTGTTGTAGTAACACTGTACAAACATGGAAGAAGAAGAAGGAGGGGAGGTCCATGATTGGATTCAAATGAAAAATTGTGTTTCTTATGAAGTAAGTATGATTATGATTTCTTCAATTGATTATTCCTTGAGTTTTATTGTCATGTTAAAGTACGAATTTGAACTATGAAAAGTTGTACTTGAGAAAGCAAAATTGTAGGTAATAATGTAATTTATTTAATTAAAGTCCTCTTGCTGATTATTTGTCTCTTTAAATTCTTCCGTTGGTTGGTTATTCCTAGCAAGTGGGTATGTTTAATAATCTTTAAAATTTTAATCCGACTCATAAACATTTGATTTGATTTGATTTGATTGTTTCAAGACATACATAAAGTTATCGAAGGAGATAAATGAATGAATCTTTCAAGAAATTATCTCAGGTTCCATCTTTTTCTACAAATCACCTAATATTTCTTCCTCATTCTTATGGAATTAGGCCCACACAAGGATGGAGAACTTATATAGTAAGGTTAATTCATGTAAATTTTAATGTTTTGTTTTATGATTTTCAAGGTTCTATTCGTTACATTTTTATTTTTTATTTAAATATTTTGTGTGGTATGGTGTTTGTTTGGCTTTGGGTTTTGGTCAGGGAAGTTTGAGCTCGATAAGTTCGGGCTGCATCTATGGTGGCTCGGGCAACATCTATTTCAATATTGATTGTGTGAAAGTCATCTACTAAAGCAAGGTTGGTGTAAGAGTTGATGATACGAACATTGTTTCAAGACCTTCAGTGAGTTATGATGATGTCCCTTAATAGCAATGTAGTATTAGGTTATACAGTTAGCAATGATTATTTGTATTTGACATTTTAATGCAATGAATTATCTTTCTGATTTATTGTATTTTATTTTGTATTTTGTATGACATTACTTTTGTGCAATGGATTGTATTTTTTGTATATGGTATTTTATTTTCTATTATGAGACATGAAATGCAAATTTAATTTGAAAACTAGTAAATCTATAAATAATTTAAAAAAAATAAATAAAAAAAAATTACGATACACAAAAATGTGTGTCATCTTCATTTATGACATCGCCTTTCTTGACAACGGCTTTAATGATATGCATTGCATGTCATAAATGCGCGTCATCTCTCGTTATAACAGGGCCTTCCTTGACGCGCATTCGTGCGTCGTCTGAGCATTTTACGACACGCAATGAGCGTCGTAAAAGGCCTTTTTTCTAGTAGTGAAGGTTTCTGACTTAATCTTGATTAAGTAGATATAGCCATATCTGTTGTAATCATCAGTAAAAGTCACATAGAAGCGGTTAGCATCCCTTGTGCCGGTTCTGAAAGGTCCAAACACATCTGTGTGTATGAAATCTAACAAACCCTCACCCCTCTCACAGGTACTGGTGAAGGGTATTTTGGTCATCTTTCCAAGCAAACAAGATCTGAAATTGTCATCTGACTTTAAGTCGAACGACTCCAAGACTCCAGCCTTTTGGAGTTGGTCTATGCGATTCCTGTTAACATGTCCAAGACGACAATGCCACAAGGATGCCTTATCCAAACTATTGGAAGAATCAATATGTAACACATCAATTCTTAACTTGTCTACAACCATCAAAGTTTCATATACATCATTACAACGTAATTCTTTAAAATAAAATACACCATTATAAAAAGCATTAATAGAACCAATTTCATTATCAAATGAAAAACTAAAATCTTGTTTGTACAAACCATGAAAGGAAATAATATTTCTCGCCATATCAGATGGGTAACAACAATTATTCAAATCTATTTCTAACCCACTACTAAGCAATAAAGAGTAAACTGCAATCTTTATGACAGGTGAGACTTTTTTATTCCCCATGATCAAGTTTATATTCCTGTGCTCCACATACTTACTTCTTTCTAGGCCCTGCATACAAGAACAAATGTGAAATCCACAACCTATATCAAGGACCCAAGAATTAACATGTGATGAGTTTTTAGATAGAATAATATAAATACCTGCATGGGTGGGTTTAACCTTCCCGTCCTTAACATCCTGCAAGTACTTGGGATAGCTTCACTTCTAGTTCCCCTTTTCATGGCAATAGAAGCACTCTCTTTTTTGGGTTGGTAGAGGGAGTAGCAGAACCACCTTTGGTTCCACTTCAAGAGCATCCACCATGAGACTTTCCATTGTGTCCCTTGGTAGGGGTCTTCCTCTTCTTCCCCTTCCCTGGCCCAATTTTCAAAATAGGGGCAGTAGTAGGTGTGGTAACAATAGATTTACCTTTGAGACTACTTTCAGTATTCCTCAAAAGTCCTTTGAAGTTTGCTTAGAGTGACCTCCACCTTGTTCATATGATAGGTCATGTGGAACTGATCATAACAGGAAGACAATGAGTGTAGAATGATATCTATGACCAACTCTTTATCAATGTTGACATTCAACTTTAGCAAACGGTCCACAAACCATTGCATTTTCTCTACATGGGTCATGATGGACTCTCCATCCTTCATCTTAGTTATTATCATGGAGGAGATGATTTCATACCTCTCTTGACGAGCACTCTGATGGTATCTTTCCATCAGGCCTTGGTGCATCTCAAAAGGGTAGAATTCCTTATATGACTTTTGGATTTCAGTTGTCATAGTGGCCAATATGATACAAGACACCTTGGTGGCATCCTTCTCATGTGTCCTAAATTCAGCAATCTCCTCGGGATTAGCAGAAGACTCATCAATTTCCTTAAGCTCCTTATCAAGGACATATTCCTTGTCCTCATAGCGAGTGACCATCCACACTTTCCTAATCCAGTCATTGAAGTTGGTCCCATCAAAGATGACTCTCCCACACAAGTTCATTAGAGAGAAGGAGTCAATAGGATTTGAGCCAGAAGTAGTGCTCGAAGACATCTGAAAAAGAAAGACAATGTTTAGATTATATAATAATCCTTAATATAACACCCAAATGAAAAATTAAAGCTAGGGCCCAACACAACATTTTACAATTAAGAAAAGGGATTCCGTAATCCAATTGCAAAATATTTGAAGGTAGGTAAATGACGATATACCAATATCCACCATGAAAAACGAAATTGATTATTAAGTTTTTAATGAATTGAAATTCCTAGATTCTTTTGAGATGCATTGAACTTTTCAATGATATATTTAAATCTTGATTATTCCCTTCCAGTTTGTGACTGGGATATCGAGGATCACAAACAAGGTGTGAATAATCATGCAAATATGCTTGGTACACTCGATGTCATTTATCACCTAATCGATCCGCCGGTTAACCACACACACTCCATCGATCTATGACAAACATCAAGCTACCCTTTGCCATCCTTACTAGTCCAAGTTAATGTGTCAGTTAACCACACACGCTCCATTAACGACTTGTTAAGGTGAGAAGTGCAATTTCATGGATTAGCATCAATTTCAAATTTTCCTAAAGTAACTAAGACTGGGAATTTAGTAAAACACTTATTTACTTTATAACTATCGTTATACTTTTAATGAGAATTAATATTCTATCCTACCCATTCAGCTAATGACCCTCCACCAGTTAAGGGAGCGGTGGGTGAGAGTGGACACCCATTAAACCACCATTTTATAGGCAATAACCTTATACCCCCTTATAGACCGGCTTTGTGAATAAGGCCTACGAACGGTAAGTCTGACTCGTCTTATACATATATATAATTATTAAACTTTTAATATTATAATAGTACAAGGGTTGAATTTTAAGCTTTTAAAATTCCAGGGTTTGGAATTAGAGTATTCCTAAGTGTGGCTTTTACAAATTCCAAAACTTGAGGGTAAGTTTTGAAACTCTTCAAAACTTTTCATTTCCATGACTTAGGAGTTTAATGACTTTTTAAAAATGATATTTTTCATTTCTATAACCTATGAGTTTAATGACTCTTTTAAAAATGAAACTTTTCAGTTTCCATAACTTGAGGACAAGTTATGGAATTCATTAAAGGCATTAAGATCAATTATTTCACTAACAAAAATTATCAAATAATTTATCTATGATCTTGTTAAAATCATAAGCCAAGATAATTCACATCAACAATTTCCATAGAAATTAGCTTATCTTATAAACTAACTATAAAGTTGAAATATTGGCAATTATCTTTTAATTGGATTAGGATGATCATTACCATATCATAAAAAAATAGATTTAATGATTCAAAATAGTTTGTGGTAATGATCCTAAACGAATTCTGGCCCAAAGACCTAAAAATCTGCTGTCTGATCATGCAACTCGTCGAGCCCCATACTGAACTCATCGAGTCCAAGATTGTACTTGTCGTGTAGATGCTGTCAAAAAGGTTTTCTAGCTTTGAAAAATAATACTTTAGAATCAATATAATAGAAAACTATTCTAGGCTGTAATACCACTGATGGGTTTTGAGCATTATAACAATCTTATAGTGCACATGCAACCGTAGATGCTTTGGATCTAAGTTTTCTCTAATTATACGTGCAAATTTGATTTTCCAAAGCATACTTCCTAACTAGCATACGAAGCATAGGTAATTGAATAACAAAACTAGTTAGATAACTTACCTCTTGTTGTAGGTTGTTAAAATTTTCCTATAAGAGCCTAGCACCCCAAATGTGATGCCTCAAATGCTTCACAAAACACCACCAACAACGGAGGACTTGAGAG